ACTGTCACTTCTATACAACTGCATTGAAGGAAGTAAGAAAACCTCCTCAGTGCTGGTGTTTAGCAATATAAAATTATTGCTAAACACAACTGGAAATTCCAGTAAAAACTATTCAATTAGAATATGAAATACGAGTAAATATTCTAGGTAATAATAGTTGCTCTTGTTAGGCCTGCATTATCGCACAGTCAAAGAAATCGTTTTAAATGTCGCAAATGAGACAAGACGAGCAACAAAGCTGTTTATTGCCGAATCGTTCATTCCTATAATAATCCATTGCATTCAATTTCTTGTTTATTCCTTTCAACCGCGCCTCTCAAATCTCAACGTGTTCCACGCAGCGTGCAATGTTCTGTACCTTTCCATGGACACAAGTCGCGTCTCATCACCTCAACCATTTTCCTCGCTTTCAAGCTCCCTTTTTAGTTTCGCCCGCAATCGCCCATCCCGGACAATTCCGCTTTTATTGCGAGTTTACGGCGATCGAATGCCACCTGCACCGGTGACCGTGGCGAAGGGAGCGCCCCTCTCTTCTGGTAGTCGCTGCCCCGCCTGCTTCTACGGACCGGCCAGACAGTGTTTTTTGACCCAGAATTACAACAAATGGATGAACAGAACACATGTGGAATACGCTGTGTAATAGGTGGCGATTTAAAATTGTGTACGTTTGAAGGTAATTGGAATACGTTGGCTTAGCAAATCAATTCTAAGGAAAATTTGAATAACTTCTCAAGAGCATTTCCAAGCCGGCAGCGGGACTCCGGTCTTCGATTTCCACTCAACGCATTCGAGACCAAACTTCAGATAAGGCTTCTCTTAAATTACTTTCCTCACATAACTAGTACTGATGAATTTCTACATCATTAAATTTGGCCTTTCCAAATGTGTTCTGTTTATCCAAACGCTTTAGCTGTTTGTTTAAATAATACAAGTAGACGCACCCAGTCACGCACTCGATCCGAGGAAGCGCACCAAGGGAACTGAAACAAAATCTCCTAAGACGATCCGATAATCGCCGCCCGCTCTGGAGAACGCTTCAGGGCAGCGGAGGCCGCAAGCGTCGCGTCGAGCACCCAACGAGGATCGAGTTCGGTTCCTGGCGCAAGCAAGCCGGATCCGTTTCGCGCACTTTGCGGCGGCCAAGGAGAGGTGGTGGGAGGCACGAGGACTAGGGTGGAGAGCGGCTGGAGACGGTAGCGGGGAAGGATAGAAAGGCAAGACAGTTGCGGCTAAATTGAACAATCAAGTAATACCTAAACGGTTCACGATATCGAAATGCAGTTTTCGCCACAACACTGAAACATGAGGCTACCCCGTCGAGCTATTTTGTTATTGCAATACATTTTATTTACGTAGAATTTAAATCGTATTTGATTTGATGTGGCTCTTCCGAGCGCATTGCTGTGCAGCCCGCGGCCTCACAAGTGGGCCTTATACACGGCGCACGGCGGAAGCGCGTGGCACGGAGGAGGGGGGCGGGGGCGCGGAGAGCGCGGCGCGTGTGCCCCCGGGGGCCTAGTTGTTTCCGGCGCGGCCGCAGCCAACTTCCGAGTCCATGGGGCGGCGAAGGGAGCACGGCCCCGGCGACGGCCCCGACGACGGCGCCGCCACGCCGCTTCCGCGAGGAAACCGCTGCTCGCTACACACCACACGCACGCTAGCTCTTGCCCTCGCCCTCGCCCTCGCTCAGGCCCTTGACTTCGTCCTAGCCCCAGCACTCGCCCTTGCCCCAGCCCTCGTCCTCCCCCTAGCCCGCATCCACACCCTAGTCCTCGTCATCTCTCTTTCTAATTCTCAGTCATTCCCTCGCCGACTCTCAGTGTCCCGTTCTACTTTCACCCTCGCGCTTGCCCTTGTCCTCACTTTCGCCATTGACCTCGTCCTGACCTCAGCCCTTATTCTCACGGTAGCCCTCATACTCTTCCTAGACCGCATCCTTACGGTTTTCCTGGACGAAGCCCTAATCCTCACCCTAGTCCTCGTGGACTCTCGCCTTAGTTCTCAGTCATTCCCTCTCCCACTCCCCCGTCCTGCTCTCGCCCTCGCCCTTCTATTGCACTGCGTGGCGGGCAGCCTCTATCAGCGCCATTGTGGCGCTAGGTGCTGGATCTCTCTTTTCTCTGAACTCCCGCTCGCCGCCTGCTGCCCACTGCTTGTGTCCTCGTTCGTGAGGCAATAAACGTGCGCACACAGAACGTCTGTCTCCAATGTCCTACTTAACCTTTGACTACGTAAATCCAGCGTCGTTCCCTGTCACTATTAGCACAATGATGGGGACGTTGCACCACATTCTAAAGCACTCAACAAGTGTGCGTGCGCGTGTGTGGGAAGTTCTCAGCACCGCACTTCTCAAAACGTTTCACAGCAGCTTTGAAAAGGAATATGAATGGAATTCCAATCAACGAAGGGGAAGTACACAATTAGTATAACAGTCTCACTGATATTGCATTTTACGAAACGGAACATTATTTTAATTCTGCAATTAGAGAAATAATACCTCTCAGACCTCAGCATAATCATTATGAATACTAGTTTTACGAGAAAAAGTCATTAAAAAAATTAAATAAAAAATTAAAATCCTCCAGACTTTTACAAACTCGAATATTTTTATCACGTTCTTTTATTATGACGTACATTAAAACCGGAAAAATGCGACCAAATGTTTTAGTTGATATGAAAGTTATAGATATGTCATATAGTTTATTCCGGCTGCCTATAGTTATTAATTCCACGCATCGTCCTATTCGTAAGCAGACGTATCGAACCACTCTCAGAAAAATTAACGGACATTATTACATGACGGATACAATAATATTATCTGAATTGAAGGCTTCATTCTCATAAATTAAATATCATATAAACAAGAAATGCAAAGAACTTCTGTGATCTATTGGGCAGTTATGTGGCAACTCCTTTATTTATCAAAATACAGTGATCACATCGTTTCGATGAATTCGAAACAGTGACCACAAACTCTCTTCTAATACAGGTTACGAAATTTGCAAGGAATGCACACCACCTAAGGACAAAAAATCGTCAACACGCAAGAAAAACGACGAGTCCGCAAGGAAATACTAAGAAGGGACTTCGGCGCGGTGGAGGGGCATAAGGGGGAGAGCGGCCATTGGTCCGCGACGGCGGCGCCCCGGGACAAACAGCGCGGCTGTGTTATGCGCCCTGGCAGAATTCCCATATAATATCTCGGGCTGCATCGCTCGTAAAATGTATTCTACTGTTTGTGCAGTGAGAGCGTGGCGCGGTCGTCGGCCGCCGCCTGGGAACCGACGCCGCGCAGAAACGCCGTCGCGCACGCACCCCGGACCGCTCCCTCCCCACCCCCGCCCGCCTCACGCAGCCCACGCGGGCACGGGCCCCGGCTGAACAACAACAATAACAACAACAACAACAACACACAAACATATCTATTCATATTTCACGAATATACATGCGTGTGAGTTACGCGGACAAATCCCTAAAATAAATATTTAGTTACATTCATTTACCGTTCAAATCGGATGCGATGTTCACAGAGGGTTCACGCTACATTTGTAATTAAAACCAACCATCTTGGTAATGCAGCATTTACTTCATTAGACCGCAATTTTCAAGACGGTTGTTTTGGAGCAGTTGGTGCGCCAGAGGCAAATCGGAGTTATGATGTAAAACTTCGGGACCGAACGTAATGTTCCTTTACTTAGTTTTAAGTAAAATCAATATTGAAAATGAAAAATTCAATCAAAGAAAGAATGGGCGTGCTTAAGAGGCATGTAATGTCACGTATTTGGGCGGTTAGCTGCGATTCCTGCATTGGGAAATGGACAGTTTGGATTTTGCGTAAGGAAAATATACTGCAATACTACAAAAATCGTAAGCATGAAACCAATAATACATAATGAGACTGTAAATAATAAATTGTAATACTTGGATGTCATATTTTGAGGAAAAAGATAGTCAAGGTAAATTTGTACAAAAAAATATTCTCGTCATTCGAGGGACCAAGAGTTTAATCTATCTGTAATCAGAATAAAATGGCTTGTATTGTAAAACCAACAGGCCGAACTTTCAGGTTGCCAAGCTTCTACTGCCGGAGAAATC